TTTTGTCCAGACTGTTGGAATTTCCACTGAACATAAACATCAATATTTACAGTGAAATATCCAAACTGTTCTGCTGAAGACCCCTGGAGGAATAAATAACCTCCAGTGATAATACGTGGGTTGAACAAGATTTGGGAAATTCTAGTGAAAGAAAAATTAACCTACAAAAAAAAAAAAAAAAAAATTAAAAAATATTTTTAAAAGTGGTTACTAGAAAAAAAATCAACAGAAAAAAATCTCACCAGCTGGCAAGCCTTTAACAGTTATGTTCTTTCTTTAGTAAACACTGATGGTAACTGTTTTGCTTAATTAGATTAATTCTTTATGTATTATTAAATGTATATAATAGTATCTGTAACTATACTTGTATTGGGACTATTATGTAGGTTTGCACAGTATTAGTCGGAGACAGTATCTCATACTAATGGCCATCACTGAATTACTGAATGGCAATTCCTATAGTCCTAAGTGAAAAACTGATACTTCATTATTGTTGTGTACTATACTCAGAGATACAAGGTGGGTGAGGCAATATCTTTTATTGGACCAACTTCTGTTGGTGGGAGACAAGCTTTCGAGCTTCACAGAGCTCATCTTCAAGTCTGAAAAAGGTAGCCAGAGTATCACAGCTAAATACAAGGTAGGACAGATTGTTAAGAATAAGAGATTAACACACGTTGCAAGAAACTTCTTAAAACGGAATAGGCAATTAACCTTTTTCAAACCTGAAAGAGAGGTCTGTGGAGCTCTAAAGCTTGTCTCTTCCACCAACGGAAGTTGGTCCAATAAAAGATGTAAACTTACCAACCTTGTCTCAAATCCTGGTATCACCATGCTACAATAACAATGCAAACTATATTGTTTGTGTTATTTATTTGTTACGATGTCAAGTATTATTAAAAACAATTAGCAGTTTTAGCTGGAATTGTAAACAATCATGAAATTGGCCACATGACCTTTACTCATCCACAAAAATATGATGCATAAGTAAAATTACTTTTCAGCTGTTCAATATGAGATACATAAATGAGCACAAACGCCATAGCATTTTATGCTTATGGAAGAAAAAAGTCACCACAGGCAAAGAGTTGAGCTATGACCTCAAAAGCAAAATGTCATCTTTTAACAAAAGTATGCCTCAGTAACTGTTTTGAGTTACAAAATAGACTGGTAACTGCAATAAAACAGGCAGTGGATTATCAAATAAGGCCTTGATTCAGCAAAGCATTTAAACACTTCCTTAACTTAAAGTGAACCACAATGCTTAAGTGCTCTACTAAACCAGGATTTACTTAAGATTGTGATTAAATGCTTTGCTGAATTGATGCTTACATCAGGAAACAAAGATAAAATATAAAATGAAAAAAGCAATATCCACACAGAAGAAAAAAGTGCATACAGAGATTAGAAATTGCTACAGATTTTCTGGAATACCGTACTAATTTCAATGCCAACCTGAGAAAAGAAGAATAGAGGGAAGTGGCATGGAAAACTGGCTCTTGTAAATATAATTACAATGCAACATGGTTAATTGAGCACATCAAGACCTGAAAAATTTTATTTCACAGTTCCATAGTATGACAAAAAATGTATTCTTCTCAAATGGAAACGCATGTGCCCCTCTGCACCTCCACACACAGAATGTCAAACTACTGTCAGGGTTGCAGCTCTTTTAAAGATGAGGGTGAGCTGTGTATCACTGACAGCTTTAGTGGCCAGCACCAGATACAAAAAGACTCAATGTGTTGTCATGTGAAGGGAGCTAAGAAGAACACTAAAGAAAAATGAGCATCAAGTACACATGAAACCACAGCATGTAAGTCTCCAAAATCAGTACATTAGTGAGATGAGCGCTAACTGAACTGAGGACTGCTCTATACTAGGAAATTACATTAGTATAACTACGTCGCTCTTGGGTGTGAAAAATCCACACCCCTGAGCAATGCACTTAAACCGACCTATCCCCTGGTGTACACAGCAATAGGTTGATGGGAGAATTCTGCCTCTCAGGGAGGTGGAGTACCTACGCTGATGAGAGAAGCCCTCCTGTCTTCACTGAAGCACTACAGAGGCACAGCTGCAGCATTTTCAGTGTAGACAAGCCCTGAGTGTTTGTAAGTGATTATAACAGCACAGAAAGGTTAAGTACATGATACTCTAAAAAGGTGCTCTACAATATAAATCATCTCCTGGAAAACTGCCAGGGGAATACAAATGGACAAGCCTATAAGAGGCCAATTCACTCTTCAAACAACTCTTGCCTGTGCATGTTTTCCTTTTAATATTACTCACAACAGCCATTGCTTCCTCCCACTTAAGATCTGTAAAATGATGTTCCTTTGTGTGATAAACATTTCTGAACAGCTAATCATCATCAAAATGTGTTAGAAACACTAACCAGTTAATGATACATACATTACATTTAATGTATTAAAAATACAGTACTTAATTTTTTTTTAAATGACTGTCAAGTAACAATCCATTTAGGGCTCAAAGAAAATCTTTAGCTTTGAGATATATTGTGCATATGAGGAGTGGATCTGGTGAGAAAAAAGCATACTGATGTTTGAAAAAATTTGGGATTGGTAGAACTGAAGAATGTATTCTATTCTTGTGGACTTTTTCTAAACTATTCAGAGAAACAGAAATTCACTGAAATAAAAAGATCCTCCAATGGTGACATATGAATTCAACATTTCAGTATTCTTCATTGTCAGACTCTGGATTCACTTTGCATCAACTAGCATGAAAGGAAAGATCCTACACTAAAATATATAATTTTGTGTTAAACCTCTTTAAAATCCTGAAGTCCTTAAACTGAACTCCCACTGAAGTAAAAAAGCAGCCATATAAAGAGTGCCATTTTATATTTAATTGACATCATTAATCTATCAAACGGTGACAAAAATCTCAATTACATTTCCACCACAATGTAAAATAAACTTCAAAAGCAACAAGGATACAGATTTTTGTTACTTATTGGTTACAATCAGGAAAAATAGTTAACCCAGGGATCATAAAAGAAATCAGAAGGCTTGGGGGGGGAAATAAATAAATAAATAAATAAAACACTGTTTCAAAGAAGCAATGTCCACATTTAAAAAGAAAATGGAGAGAAGGAGAAAATTTCCCATTGTAAAAAAATTAAAAAGGGAGGCAATTTTTTTATTTTGTACTATTTATTTTTAGTGTCAAAATAATCTAGGGGTAGTAGAATGAAATTAAAGGTAAATTTTAGGCAGAATATCAGGAATTATTTCTGACTGTAGGATACAATAAAATAGCCTCCCAAAGGAAGTCTCATTGCTTGTAATTTTTAAAACTAGACTGGACAAAATGCTGCAAAATGCTGACATTGTAGGGAACAATCATGCATTTGCAGGGAGACCGATTATTTACTAGGTCACTTCCCATTTGTAACTTCTGCAATTCTTTGATTCTAGGAAAGCAAAAGCTTTAGATGAAAAACCCCATGGAACATTTTCTGTATGCCATAACAATATATAGCATTAGTAGAGTACCAAACAGCTAAAATTTCAGTAGGCCTGTAATATCCACCTCATTAGGAAATTCCCCTCTTACCACAATAAAGGAGTGATGAGAGGAAGGTTTCAGAGCATCCTTTGAAAATAGGAATAATTAAGCTTCCCAAACCAAAAAAGGATACATCACACAGTTTATTAGCACCTCTATCTATAAATGAGTCTTAGCTGGTATGTCATCCTCTTACTTTCACCTCAAGTAATAGGATTACAAAATGCAACTAAACTATGAGAGTGGAGAACAAAGGATGGGATAATTTTTCAATCCTATAATTTAGCAATAAGATGTTCCTGGGGCAATAGCAAGGACGGCAGAAGGAGAACCTCAGAAATATGGAGCGCTCACATGACAGATCAACAGAAACAGATCTCTCACAAGACAAAATAATAACCCATTAAAATGTTCATAGGACAAAGCTCAAATACTATTTTGCATTTATATAGCATCTTTTACCAGTGACCTCTAAACATTTTACAAGCCTTAAACTTTAACATGCACATGAGATGGGCAAATTGTACATCCCTGTCACAAATTGGTGCACAGAGAAGTTAAGTGACTTTACCAAGATCTTACTAGGTGTCATTGACAGGGTCTGAACTGCTAGTTCAATGTTATAACCTTGAGAACATCGTTAGTAAATAATAAAATACAAAGGGGCTGGTAGAGACAAGAGGGCTTTTTAAAATTTACTTTATTACTAGGGATTTTGCGGTACAATTAAAAAAAATTGCTTTCCAAACTCTGGGTTTAAGATCTGAGTTCATACTTTAACAGCTCTCCAAAGTCAGAAATTAACAGTGGAAATATTTTTATTTCAATAACTGAATAATGGGTGAAGTTTTGAATGTCTTTTCTACTTCATTCTATATATTTCTATGACTACTGACTAACTATTATTCTAACTTTATAATGCATTTATATTTTAAAATAAATTAAACTACAACATTAAGACATAATGCCTTTAGAATAGTTAATATTAACTATACCTGAAAGAGGCTCAAAGAAGAGAGTCTAGCTTCTGGATTTGAGCAGTGAAACAGTAAAGAAGCACACATGCATCAGGTATGACAAAAAACTAGTGATAATTATCAAGATTATTAAAGTGCAAAAAAGAAATCTAAGGAAGAGATATGGATAAATTAAAAAGAGCAACATCTATAAATATTAGGTAGCTTGCAATTCTAGCAAAACATACAACATAGGGACAATCTCTAAATAAATCTAAAGCTTTAAAAAGAAGCTTTACATATGTGTGTACTGAATACAAGGTGAAAAGAATAAAAAAGCTGAAAGATAATACTGTGGTAGTACATATACTACACAAACAGAAAAACTAACAGGAGATTACATGCTAAGCATGCTAAAAAGCGCTTTCTACCATATTAGAAAAGTGAGAGCCTTCATTAGCCAGAGCACAGCATGCTGGTGCTTAGGCAGGAGAAGTACCATTTGCTTACCTCCTGTAACAGATCTGCCTGCTCAATGGCTTTGAGAACGTTTTTCTTGGAGGTCTCCTGAACTTCCCCTCCCAACAGGAACTCATCCAGAATAAAATAAGCCTTTTCAAAATTGAAGATGATATCAAGTTCACACACCTGAAAAGCACAGTAAATGTTGTGATGGGGGGGTAGCATGCCTTATTAAGGTTGCCCAACACTTCCTATTATTAGATTCTTCTTTCACTTGCTCATAACTTTGCCAAATTAACTGTTCGGGCTGAAAATTTCCATTTCAGGCATTTTCTTAAAGCTGAATTTTTTGTGGAGAATTTCAGCCGAAGTGGTTCCGCCACTTCTGAGAATGAGGCTAGTGAGAAATGCATCTTGCCCATGTTAAAAAATTCCGGGGATCGTTTCTCTGACAAGCTCTGGTACCCCCATGCTTTGGAGCAGGGACTTGAAATTTGGCAGGAGGGAGGCCTTTGTGTCAGGGATGCGCCTTTCACTGTCCCCATGAGAATCCACCCAAACTGGGCCAAATCACAAGCATCTGAAAAACCACAGTTCGCATCTGCTAGTAGAGATTTGCTTGAATTTCAACATAGCTAACTATAATTCTATCTGCACTGAGTATGCTCTAGACTGGGGCTGCAGGGGGCTGCACAGAACTTTTCCTGAAATTGCAGCTGAAGGAAAGTAGATTGGGAAGGAGCCTGGGGGGAGAGAGGGGAACAGGACATACAACCACCTCCTCCCCTGACAAGGGTGTTGTGAAGATAGGTTAGTTACCAGGTTGATTTGGCAGAACAAGTGATGTAAGATTTGCCATATATATCTATATCTATATATCTATATCAGATATCCATGTCCAGCAGAAAACATATCACTTTTAAAATATCTTGTACACTAAGCAAGAAGATGATGCACTTACTATATTAACAAAAATACATAATGGAATTTTGTAAAAAACTGAAACCAAAATCAGAGTCACTAACTTACACTGCCAAAATACTTGTCAAGTAGTTCCACATAACGATGAATTATTTCCAGGGTTATCAGTTCATTGTCCTGATCTTCAATAGCACAGCAGAAATAAAGGCTTGCATATCTGCAACAACAAAATTATCTTTATGTTATTATAAAAACTCCAGCCCCCATGTCAGTTAAATTAGTGCTCCTGAAAGGTGTCAGATTGTTCTCAGTCCTGGAAACTAAGATCTGTGTATCCTCAGAAGTAACAGATTAGAGGCAGCAGCACTGCAAGCTTGCCCACATAGTATGACTGATGTTCCTTAAAAAGAACTGAGAGCAATCACCTCCATGGATCAAATAATATTTCAATTTCTATGGCCTTTTTAACCATTGGCTTCTCTCACGTCAAACTGAGCTTGTTAGAAAATTGAAAAGGCCTTTTCAATTTTTTTTTTTTTTAAAGCTTTTTTTGTCAAACCTGATTCAACAGAAATAAAAACAGTAACTCAGAGGATTTTTTTAATGCATTACAAAACAAATGATGTCTTTTATACACAGTTGTTGGGTAAATCACTTTCTACTGGCTTGGTTTTTAAAAGAGTACAGCAAGCATCCAATAGATAAGATTTGAAAATCTAAATTATAAATAAAACATTAACATTAAAACATCAGTCTGGAAAGAGAAAAATATCTGTGCGTTTTTCTAGCACAACGGTTTGAAGCTTACTCTAATTACTAGCACTCAAAGCAAATCTGTCTGAATACTTCTATTCTGTTACTCAAGGCACATGACTTTCTCCACATTCATTTTAATGTCAGCTGATTATTGCTATGTTCAGCTAAATTGTTTCCCTTCCAATGCTTAAGGATAATTTGAATCTCATGACAATAGCAGACCTTCATTTCAAGTTAAATGAGTAATAAGCTCTTAAAAGGACAGGCCTTAAATATAATTAAACAATTTGACCTGTTTCAGACAAAACAGCTTTTGTGTCACTAAACAAAAAAACAAAAACAAATGAACTCCCACTCCATAACACTTGGTCATAATACAGTGTCCACAACTAAATACAGATTTTAAAACTAAACCTAACCCTTTGAGAGTCCGTTTTAATACATCAAATTACTTTTCAACAATACAAAAGATTATATCACCTGGACTTTTCTTCTTAGAAGACTGTTTGTCCTTCATAACCACATCTAAAGGCAAATTTAAGGTTAGAAACCCTGCTGGTGTAGTATTTTCAACTAGGTTAAAGCAAGTGTTAACTAGAATGCATGTTCAAGTTCTACAACATGCAGTTTGGAGGGGGAAATTTAAATATATTTAAGTACAAAAGCTTCTAAGTTGCAACCCCCTAACACAAACTGGAGGCAAAGGTACCTATAATGATATGCTGGCTGGGAAAAGAACATTGTCCTTCAAAACATTCAGCAATAATCATATAATCAAAACAGGAGCAAGCCTGACCTCTTGAAGAAACACACTTCCATATCCAGGCAATGAAGAGCAAGCACCTACACCAAATTCAACCACAGTTGTAAGGGCCACATCTGTAATCTTTTGAAGGAGTAAACAAAGGCACATGCCCTCGTCAGGCGCCAATGCTTGAAGGCAGTCATATTGGTTCTCTTAGCTTGGACCTCAAAATATCCAAAACAAGCCCTGAGACGGGCAAGCTAAATCTCTTGTCAAGTCTAGAGTGGGTCCTCTGGAGATGAGAATGTGCAAGAGTTTATTTCTGTGTTTTTTCTCACTGACATATGTGAAAATATATTTTCAGATTCTCCTCTTAAAACACTTAATTCAGAGGATGTCTTGCCAATACAAACCACGATGAAGGGCTACAGCCTTGATCAAAGCATTTCAGCTTTCTTGATTTGTGTACATTGAGTATTTCAGGTGATGTATATGGCACAAGCTATAAGCTTACCAAATTTGTATCTGAGTTTGTATTGATCTCACAACAAAACGATGTTAATGAGGCCCTGGGACTTGAGCAGTATATGTTTACTGCCAAAGTTTTAAAGAAAGTCAAACCACTGAACTGGTAGACATCGTTGGCTACACACCTGGAACCAGAGTCTGTTGAAATACTAAATCAGCTTTGACAGCAGTAGCCTCTTTTGCAGAGGCAGAGAGAATAATTTCTTCATTTCAGGTTATTTAACTATTTTAAATTCAATGATTAGTTAATTCAAAGTTAAAAAGCATTTGAACGTTGAAAAGCAGTAAAGCTTGTTTTCTCTTCCAAACTATGAATAAAAACTAAATGTGAGAGGCTGAGATCTGCTATTTCTAAAATCCTGAAGGACACAGTGACCAGAAACAACTAGTTCAATTCACTAACTGCAGGTAACACTTTGTTTAATAAATCAGTTAGTTTTAAGCAGGTTTTGAATAATTTTTTTTTTTGTTATGTATCCAGCATATTTAAGGTAGCTTTAGTTTACTAATTAAAATCTTTAAAATTTTGCTTGCATTTTAATTGCATTTGAGTTCCTATCCAAAGAGCTCAAAACAAACAAGTAAAAGAATTAATCTTGCAAATAAGAAACACATTATTCGTTGTTTACTAACATAATACAAAATAAAAAATTAAGCATCTGAATAAATGTAAAGTAAGCTATATAACTGCTTAAATAAATGTGTATAGATATAACATTTCCTCCTAAGTTTGCAAAAAGCAGCACCAAATTTAGTATAAAGGCTGTATTTAGTTGCAAATTAACATGTTTTAAGTATTGTCAATCAGTTAAACAACCTCTCTTTAGGAGTACAAAGGCAAAAACATTAAAATTGATTGCTTAAAATTCGCTTTGATTTAAGTGAACCTACTACCTTGCTCTAATATCTGAAATTCTAACAATTAGGTAGTTCTAGAATAAATAAGTATAAAACATGCATTTCAGCAATTTAGATTATGAAATAAGAAAAACATGAAGAACTAGCAACACGAAACTAAAAAATGTTAAATGTTTTAAGTTTTTTAACAAGTCATGGTTTTTACCCAATGTGAGTCAAACTGTCCCCAAACTATGGGATAGATTATGCAGACCTTGGTAGAGGATTGGCTTAGGATTCTCTGTAGCATCCTCAAACTTGCAACCAAGATGAAGCACCTCTTGCTAAGAAGGACTGTGACCCCTGCCAAGGTTTGTCAGTTTCTGTAGATTGTCTGGTTCTCTTTTGGCTACCTGCCCAGGACAAAGACTACCAGAACTCCCTGAATATGAAGGATTGTTTCCAAGGCTGCTCTTGGACTCTTGGGCCACCCGAGCTTGCTCCTATTCCTTCTGGGTTTCATCGTTATCTTTGGAAGCATGCACTTTCTCCAAGCCCAAAGGCACTATCACACTAAGTGGTTTTTATCACTACTTAAATCCAGTCCTCTTAGTGGTGTTCCCTCAGCTGTGTGATGACCATGACTACCCAAACTTGAAGAAAAACAAGGAAATAAAACAAAGGAAAAATTAAATTACTTTCCCTGGCATCAATTAACTTGCCATTTTTTTTAAACTCCTTTTATAAAATTAGCTTTTAATAGGATGCATTTATTTCCTTCATCTCATTGGAATGTCAGTTACAGTAATTTGTGGAGAAAAGCAATTTCACAGCTGTTTTGTATTACATTCAAAAGGTCAGCAGAATCAAAACATTACAGCTGCACAACCTTAGCATTTTGCAAGTAAACAGGTACAAAAAGATTTCTGACTAAGAAAATTAGACAGTACTTTCACCCATAGAAAACTGATCTTGATTTCTCAAAGTGAAAAAATACTTTTTTGTACGGCCAGCAAAAATCTTTTCTTATTCATATGTCTGGTGCCTTTGAGCCCAAATTATATTTGTAACCAATTTATAGTTATCCACTGCTTGAGGTAAACATGTTTATAGAATTTAGTCATTCTAAATAGCCATTAAATCATACATTATTTTTCATATTTGTATCCATCCTTTTACTTAGACAGCTTAACACAGAACTGGAAAGAATCATTCTTAAGTTTAAGAAAATCTAACCTTTGTTCTTCAGCACATTTCTAAATGCATGAGTGGCTCTTTACGCATGGATGCTTCCTACTAGGTTATCAAATAAGATTTAAGAAAAAAAAACTCAAAACTAGCCTGTTTTCATCATCATAAGGGAGAAAACATTTCACTTTCATTATTTTCTTTGCTATTCATTACATCTTTTTTGATGTCTAGTAATTACAAGCTTAGTGAGGCAGAACCACCTTTTGTAGACAATCTTCAGGTCTCTCCACTCCAGGAAGCTGCACATTTTCGGTTTACGGGCCAGCACTGTCTGAACAAGTTCCCTTGTGATTTTCTTCTTCTCTTTGTCAGACAACGGGACATACCACTTCTGAAGTCTCAGCTTCCCCTGACGACTAAAAAGCAACATAAACTGCATCTGTTGAATTAACAAATAAAACTGTAATGAATTTGTCCTTCAGCTGTATCAAATTCAAACATTTTAAAATTAGTTTTATTAGTTGAAAAATGTTTTAAAGTAGGAAAAGAAATGAGAAGTGTCAATGACAGCCATCCAAAAGCTAGTATATCTACAAAATACTTTTAAAGGTGTAACCACTGTCTTAACTAAGGCACGTTCTACATTAGAAAAATGAAGCACCGCTAATAACAGATGTCCACAATGAGTTAAACAGTGGGTTACACAAGATTAACGTGTAGACAAAGAAACAGTGTTCAGGAATTTCAGAAACAGAGGTTAACACCACGAGATGCTGAACACATTATGCTTTCAGCTAAACTATGCTCAGCACTAGTACACTGGCACCTTTCGCTAATACTCATTGTCACCAACATAGCTGGTCTACTATAGACAAATTAAGAAACTGCACCCTCAGCCCCTTAATGTCAAAACCCATGATTTCTGATACCAAATTCACTGCCAACTGGATTATAGGTATTGCATTAAGAATACTTTTTTCACCTATATTAATTTATTCCAGTGTATGTCAAAGCACTTCAAAGACACTGATTAAGTTTCCTAACTCCCGGGGAGGTGGCAAGTCTTTCCCCCATTTTACAAATGGGGAAACGGGAATAAAGATGAAGAGATTGGCCAAGCGCTGCTGTCCCTCCCCCACAGTGATATTACTATTGAGTTTGAGAAAGCACTTATGTTAAGCACCTTTTCCTGCATTTGGGGGGGGGGGGGGGCTCAAATGTCCATTGAGCTTGAAGAGCAAGCGGGAGCACCAGCGAAGCCCAATTAGCCTTTCAGGTGGGTCTGCTTCGTTAAGGGTCCTCAGCCCTGACCCGGATCTGCCACCCCCCACGAAGGGCTCCGGCAGTTGGCCGCCTCGACAGCACTGCGGGGCGGGAGAGCAGGCGGGATCCTCGGGATGCACCGGCTCCTCACGAGCGGCGGCAGGGAACCCAACCCGAGGCCGGGCAGCGCCAGCCAGGGAGCCGCCCGGGGGCAGAGCGCTGCCTCCGCCACAGCCTCGCCCCGGCCGGACAGGGGAGCCCGCGGCAGGCAGGCGACATCACGCCCCCCCCGTGCTTAGAGTCCGTTCCCCGGGGGCAGAGCAGCAGTTTAACCGTCGCGCGCACGGCGGAGGGCGCACAGCGCAGTCCCGGGTGCCACCCTCCCGGGTCCCGTTAAATCACGGCGGCCACACGCGTTTGCGCAGCGGAGGGAGCGGCGCGGAGCCCGGTATCAGCCGGGAAGGGAGGGTCTATACCCCGGGGACTCTCCCCGAGCAGCCCCCCGCCCCGGCCGGACTCGGAGCCGCTTACCGTGCCCGCAGGAGGAGGCAGCGGCGAGCGGGGCGGGCGGAGGAGCCGCCGGGAGGCTCTGGCTCGAGCTCTTGGCGCGCGCGCAGCTGGGCGAGAAACAACCGCCCCAGGGCCCGAGCCGGGAGGGAGGGGCTGGGCGCGGCGAGCGGCTCCAAGAGGGCGGGGCAGGAGCGAGAGGAGACGCCGCTTTTCTTCCAACAAAACTTTATTAGCTCGGCGAACACAGGCGGCGCAGGGGCTGCGCGCACCCGCTTGGGGGGGAGGGGACAAACGGTTGGACCAGTCAATCAGCGAGCGGGACATATAAGCAGCTCGTGTGGTAGCCGTGCAGCAGCCAATCAGCGGGCCAGGCACACTGGCAAATGAAAGGAACCAATCAGCATGACAGAACCACAATAGGGGCGAAGTAGGGATTACGGCAGCCAACCAGAAAATCAAACACACAGCGTTTTTTTACAGTAGCCAATCACCGAGGGAGACACAGATCGGAAAATGGCCTCAGTCAATCTGCAGTTTGGCAATAAACCCCTCTAACCCGCCCACAAAGCCGGAAGTGATTGAGTGCTAGAAGTGCTCATTCCGCATGCGCACCCGGTAGCGTTCCCTAGTGTAATCTAAATACATTTGCATCCCAGGGGTGTTCCCTAAAGCACGTCACGCTCGGATGGGGAGGGTCTGCCAGGCCCGGCCCCGAGGGAGACCAGTGTTAATGGCCGTGGGGCAGGGAGTGAGACACGTGCTTCCTCTGCCCCAGGCCAGGGCATTTCAGCGGCTGTATCAGGGTGGCGAAGGGCAGTCGGTGGTTTCCAGTTGTTCCCCTGGGGGCGGGCACAGTCACTGAAGAGGGGATATAGTTATTACTTACCCCCCTCTTGGTACAAGGTTTAGTTGTAGAGAACAAAGACTTCCTTGGTGAGCAGCTGAGTCTAATGCCTTGCACTGTTAATTAAAATGCACACACTAGTGTTAATGCCACATTAAAGTTTGTGAGATCATCTACTCATAAAGTCAGAAATTTCTAAGAGTTACAGTTGTCCCTACAACTCTATACCATCCACGCTATGCATCTTGTATATTTTATAGTGCAAGTGCCTCCATTTCAGTCTCCTCCCTGAGTCACAGCACGCCGTTCTCCTTTGTATCCCTCCCTAAAATGCACTGTCCCCATATCTTTTATCCCTAGTTTTTTTCCCTCCAGAAATATTAACTAAATTCCTTGAAATTAATTTTCTTGGAGATAATATATTCCACTGAAATCAATGGGGTACTGTTTTTTGTTTGTTTGTTTGTTTTGTTTTTTAATAAATAGCTACAGTGAGTCTACAAAACTGGAAATACATTGTGTCCATGTGCAAAACTGCTGAATTTAGACATGCATAATTTTAAACTTACTCAACAGATTTTCTTAAAAGTCACCTTTTTTTTGAGTGTCAATGAGCTTCACAAAGTAATCCCAAGGTCCTCTGGTCAGAGGTTTGAATTATGTCAGAGTGCAAAATTTCTGATTAGAGTATATGGAGGAAGTGTTTTTTCCACACTCACATAGCTCAAACAGCTCAAATTATTTTTCTCACCCCTTCCCCCCTTTTATGCACCTTTGGGCTGAGAGCCTACATGGAAAATTTCAGTATAGAAGGAATGTGAGAAAGCAAAAATGGGGATGATAGAATAGAGGATGGAATTAGTCTTAAACTATAGTCTATAGTCAATGTTACATGTACCTACTGCCCTTCTAAAGCAACTTCTATCCAAGCAACTCAAAGTGCTTTAAGAAACAACTTAAATTTTAACACTCCAATGGCTTTAATAATTATTTCCCCCCAATATTAAATGGAGAAAGCCACACAAAGGTGTGAATAATTTGGCCAACAGTAAATTATTTGCAGAACTATGGATTAGAATCCAATTTTATGCTCTAACCACTACACATTGCTCACTCCCTTACCAGTAGCTTCAATCACTTTGGAAAGTGTCAGTTTTTGTATAGCTTTTTACTATTAACATACTTTATTTTAATAAATTACATGCTTTTGGAGAGAAAACATTTGTAGCAGCAGAACTGTTACTGAAAACAGTGTTTGGAAATGTTTCCTGCCATTTCAAAAGATGTTTGAATCAAAAGTACTTGAGGAAAATTGCAAATATACTACTTTTTCCTTTTATAGCCCAGGTGGCAATTGTAAGACTAGAACCTAACATAGGGAGAGGGAAGAATGTGTGGAACTAAAATGAATGGAAAAGTTGATTACAAGCTTGAAGATTAAACCAAAGAAGAGAGAGGTCAATATCCACAAAGGGACCTAGGCATTGCAATGCCCAGCATCACAATGTCTAATTTTTAGGTGCCTAGAAAATCATTGGAGCAACACTGGGATCCACAAAGCCTGAGTTAGGCACCTAGACTCCCCATACAATGAATGGGGAGAAATAGGCACCCAAAAATGCAATCCACAAAAGCAAGTGTAACGCTGACAGACCCCGGTCATTGGCGCATGAGCCTCTACTGCAGGGATGGCCAACCTGAGCCGGAGAAGGAGCCAGAATTTACCAATGTACATTACCAAAGAGCCACAGTAATACATCAGCAGCCCCCACATCAGCTCCCCCCTTCCCCCCGCTCCCAGTGCCTCCTGCCCACCGGAACCTCCGCCAATCAGCACCTCCCCCTCCCTCCACCTCCCGGTCAGCTGTTTCGTGGCGTGCAAGAGGCTCTAGGGGGAGGAGGGAGGAGCGAGGGCACGGCAGACTCAGGGGAGGGGGCAGGAAGGGGTGGAGTGGGGTCAGGGCCTGTGGCAGAGCCAGGGGTTGAGCAGTGAGCACCCCCCAGCACATTGGAAAGTTGGTGCCTGTAGCTCCAGCCCTGGAGTCGGTGCCTATACATAATACCTGCATATTAACTTCTGAAGAGCCGCATGCGGCTCCGGAGCCACAGGTTGACCACCCCTGCTCTACTGCATGAGCTAAAAGCCAACTGACTGTTAGCTAAGGCTGTAGAGCAGACTCATTTTATCTCTCTCTCTCTAAGTGGTCTCGGTGCCACTAGATGGGACAGAACACCATACCCAGAAGGTGTGTGGGTTACATTCTTCCCCTAGCTGAGGAAGCCCGTCCCGAGCTTCAGAGACTTCCCAGTTGAAATCCTGGACCAGCCCCCACTTGTAACGCCAACAGACCCCGGTCATCGGTGGGTGGGACCAAACTCGGGATCTCTGGAGTTTAGTGCATGAGCCTTTACTGCATGAGCTAAAAGCCAACTGACTGTTAGCTAAGGCTGTAGAGCAGACTCATTTTATCTCTCTCTCTCTAAGTGGTCTCGGTGCCACTGGATGGGACAGAAGGTGTGTGGGTTACACGAGCATGCTAGACAGGAAGCTGTCTACACTTACCAGTGGGAGATACTAAAGAGAGCAGTGTGGCCTAAGCCTTCTAAGGAGTTTGGTGCCTAAATCCAGGCTGCAGGGAGTGTCCCTATTTCTGTTTGCAATCCAGAGCTAGGAACCCCTCTCCTGGAGTCAGGCAGTTTAGGTACCTAAATTGTTTCTAGTGGGAATGAGTGAGACACCTGCTCATTCCACACAAAATGGTCAAAAGAGGAAGTGGTGACCTTATAACTTTTAGCCTATTGATTAAAGCACTCACCTGAGAGGTGGGAGACCCAGGTTCAGTTCTCCCTTCTGCTTGATGGAGGCATGTGCCCAAACCATTAAGTTATGGGCTGTGCTGATGTGGGATTTACTGAATCTTACCTGCTGAAGCTGTTTCACAGTCACCTTTTATAAATAATGAAGGGGTCATTGGAGCAGGGGGACTGAACTCTGTGTCACCCACCTCCCGAGTGGGTGCTCTAACCACCAGCTATACAGTCATTCTCAACTCTGGCCTTATGACTGAGTTGTTATTCAAAGTGGAACAGCTTCAACAGGAGAGATTGAGAGAGTCCTGTGGTGCTGGCAGACCAGATGCCAGCTCATGCCAAGGTCCCTAAGCCTCAATGAACACTTCCAAATGCATAGCTGGAAACCATCCTGACTTACCTGTTTGTTAAAATAGATGTTAAGTTAATAAGAATGTATTTAGTGTGATAAGAATGTGTTTAGACTTGATGAAATGCTTGTAGGATGCTGCATGTATTGATCTTACTTATAACATCTTTAGCACGTAGTATGAAGTTATATTGAGTGTTTGCATTGTAAACCTCTGCAATTGTGTAACTCACCAAACAGGAAAGAAGCATTAATGAATGTGAAGTGGTTTCACAAGAAGGCCTTTTGAAACCAAATGTGCTATTGTGAAATATCAAAGGACAAAGAATTTGTTGGTTGCCCTTCCCTTTCCCCCTCCTCCCCCATACTCATGAAGAGGAAACAGGCACTAACACTTGTCCCTCAATTTGAACTCTGGGGGAAGGGAATAAAAACACTAACCAGAAAGCACTTTATCACTGTGCTGCTTGGAATTTGGAACATAAGCAAGAGTTCCCCAAATTTACTCCTGGGGGAATTCTGCACAATTGCACATGCATAGAATTCAGTTCCCCCACAGATTTTTTTTCTCTGCAGAAAATACCTTTTGCTTGAGAGACAGTGCACCACCAGGGCTGCTGTGGTGCCAGAACAGAGGGTAGCTGATTCAGCCAGCCGCGGTGAGAGAGGAGGAGAGGCTGTATTCCTCATGGTGCTCTCCCCGTGGGGCCAGATAAGGAGGCATGGGATATGGGGGGACAGACAACAGGGCATACAGGGCTGCTGGGGCAGTCACATAAACTGGGGTTCAGAAGGGCTAGTGGAGGGGATAGACTGGGGCAGGGGCTGAATAGGAGTGGGGGTGCAGGGCAACATGGGGATGGGGAAGGGGTAGCTGAGTAGGGGTGCAGGGACACATGGGAAAAGGAGCGAGGGGATGGATGAGTGGGGGCACAGGGACACATGGGGATGATGGAGGAGGGGTGGCTGAGTGGGGCTGCAGGGACACATGGGGATGGGGGGGTTGGAGGAGGGCACTGACACATGGGGAATGGGGC